ACCTTTTCACAAAAAGCTAACTTCCCCTTATTTAAAGGACATATGACATCAAAAGCGAAGTTCCTTTTGTAACTCGAGATATAACACTACATAGTAATTGTAAACGATTTTTTCTAAGTACAATTTAAATAAAATTATAATTAAGATTTTCAGGAATAGAAAGTATCGGCATTCCACCTTTTAAAAAGAACACACAAAAGTTATAGAAAAATTGTGATTAAAAAATTATCTAGTACTTAGGTATTTCTCTGATACAGAATTCTGAGTTAAGGATGATATCCTTTAAAGATTAGCAAAGTATCTCTGATAGAAAAGATAAATAATTATAAAGGAAATAAATTTTCTGTTTTATTTCCTGTCTAGTCATTGTCTAGTTTAGGCTAGATAGCTACTAGTTATTTTTTATGTCTTACTAGCTAATTTATTTTGCATGATTATTAGGAGAAGTGAGCGTTACATTTCTGGCTAATACTTAGCTAAAAAACTAGACATATACTATGTAAGACACAACTTTTCTACGTCATGACTAGATACATATGAGTTCCAATTTCTACTCGGTGCGTGTCCACGTTTCGCGATGCTACTTCAATTTTTATCTTTTTATCAAAAATTCGCAAACAATTAAATAATTCGTGAGCTTTTCTCTTTACTTATGTCTGCTTAGGGCTGCTATTAAAAAAAGGTTTTCATGGTTCTTGCGTGTTTCTTATAATCGTGCTTCTTATAATATTGCAATAATAATGGAGTCGCACTAATTATTTTTGAACATTCATTGTATAAAGAACAAAAGTTGAAATGTTTTAAAAGAGCGAAAAAGCAGATTTAGGTATTTATCACGATTTAAAAAATTTATTAAAAATTCTCTAAAAGATATATATATATTTATTTTATATCTTATAAATACAATTCTTTTATGTTTCCATAATTTTTAATTTGTATTTTGAAAATCTCATATTTTGTATATTTTGTATATTTTATTTAAAAATTTTATTTTACTGTATCTTATAATAGAACAGGAAAACTTAATTTAATATCTATTAATTAAAACAGTAACGTCTTTGCAATACAATAAATATTTCCGTAATATAATTCAAAAATGTCAATTTTCCTCAGTCACATTTTGAAAACATTTCGTAAAATGGTACTTTTACAATAACGGTACTTTTCTTTCTTTACTTAAAGATCCTTACTTCAACATGATCGAGCGAAACGTTTTGATATCGCGTTGAAAATGCATCTCCTCGTGACTTTACGGAGAGACGTTTTCCCAATATACTTGCAAAGACAAACACAATGGATCAACTTCCGACTTTCAGCTTTGGAGATTCGTTTTTATCTCTTCAAAGTCCAACTGACTGTACAAATCGTAAAACGTGTAAAAACGACAGCAAACCCTAGTATTCGTTCGCGGATCATGTAGTCAACCGTAAAAATATCTTGTCCCATAAGCAATGACAATTCTTAAGCCAATATACTGTAACATCCCCATTCTGTCTAGCAAACCAAATCCAAATTCTCGTATTGCAATCGTATTCTTGTATCACGGTATCAATATCATGAGAATCTAAGAGAATCTATATATAAATATTCATAAATATTCTTAACCTACTCATTTTATAACATTATGAAATTTTATATGCATTTTTTTTCTAAAGATATGTAACATCTTAAGAGAAATATTTAAAAATTATTTAAAGAGAAAGAAGAAAGATATTAAAGAAATATTAATAAAGCTTATTAAAGAAATATTAATAAGGCTTTGTTTGTTTAAGAAAATTATTAAACATTTCGTTAAAAGTCCGTATAAAAGTCTAAATTAATTTCATTGCATTTTATTATAAGGAGTACTTTATTAAAATAACATTGAAAAAGGAAAAACGGAATTTTATGGCGATCAAGACTCGTAAAATTCACGTTCGAAGCTCCAGAGACGACGTTAATCTCGAGCTATCCGCTCGAACGACCGTGGGGAAAATTAGCGGAAGTGCCGTCACCGTTAATTTCTTATCCCACACTGGCTATTAAGGCGCTAGTCTCTATTGCAATTTTTTCCCCGCGTTTAAAATCATACGGCACTTAACGTCGCAAATGAAAGAGAAATATAATTTCACCTAGCTGTATAAACAAATATCTTGAGGCGCAACCGAATATAAATGAATTTGTTACAAAGAACCACAACCAAAAATAAAAATGTTCAAGGCAAACTAGCATTGTTAAATAATGTATCCAATGGAAACTTATACATAAGAAAGTGCATATCGCACATTGGTATCTCTTTATTTACATTTATAATTTTTTCCTTCAAAAAAAAAAAAAAAAAAAAAAAAAAAAAAAAAAAAAAAAAAAAACCAAAATAGTAAAATTGGTACCTTCAATTCACTCACTCTTCCAAGCTTTTACCCCATAAAAAGTTCATATTCTCTTCTGACGCCACGCACATAGAGAAGAACAAATAGAGCTCAGTTAGGAAGGCAAACGAACCCTCGTTTTCGAATCCGCGCGAAAATCTGTCAAATTTGCCCCGATCGAAAACGTACACAAAGGACTGGGTGTCCGTTCTGAGCCCTTTCGCAGGGTTCGCTGAATTCGCGAGAGAATCGTAGCGCGATAACCGGATAACGAAGTCAATTGCTCGGTCAATCTGCCCAATCCACGTCGCCACGCAATTTGATTCAGGATACAGTCGCCGTAGAGAGTTTTTCGCAGAGAGTGAAAATTACGGGGATGTTTTTCGCACGCGGGGACTTGTCTCATCCCTGCCGTCGGAAGGCCCGGTTCGTTAAGGCGACTAATTAACAAACCTACCGTAGAACCTCGCGTTAATTAGCGTGTGTGAATATTAACGACCACGTTAAATTTCGCGCAAAATAGCAACAGTCGTGACGCGTGTAGCCCACTATACAAATGCATTTCAATGCATAATTAATAATAATGACAACGATATCTGATTAGACCTCAAAAAGTCAAATTTGACTTTAATGTATTTTTTTGTCAGTTAATTTATTTTCCTGTTCAGGGATAATTAAATGTTTCAGAATATTTAGAAAATGAAACTTGTAACCTGATATATCAATATAAAAAGTACGTAAGTGCGTATGTAATGCATATATCATAATTTGAAATTATATTGTTAAAAACATAATTTTTCCAATATTATTTATTCCGACTTTTCACCTATTTTTTTCTTCTACATTATGTCAAAGTATATGATCACGTGCAAGAAATAATTGAACGACATTAACAAAAAAGCTCACACAACATTTTTATATTATATAAAAATTACAAAAGCAAGCTTATATAAAAATGAAGAAGAGAGATCGCGCTGAGACGATAAATATGAAATTACTCTAATGAATAACTGTAAATGCAGATTATTTAATAACTTGATATTTTGTTTAATTAACGGTTGAGTTATAAATCAATAAAATCGTGTCTATCGGTTAATTGCTAGAGGGTGCCACATGATGCATGGGAATAGAGCCGATACTGCAGCTGTTCTTCGTATCAACGCGAATCCGTTAGTTCTCTATGGTACCGGCATGATTCATCAACAGAGATCTGTTTTACCGTTTACATTCACGTATATATTCACACACATTAGATTAAAAATAATAAAAGTCTTCAAACTTAAGAAAACAACAGAAAAATAATTGGTACTACACTTAATAATAAATTTAAATCGTGCAAACGTATATACGTATCGTTAATTAATTTGGTTCTGTTTTCAAATCATATTATCCAATATCCGATTTTGCATAAATGAAAAAAAAAAAAAGAAAGAATTATGTACTATGTTCGTTTTTGTATACTTATTTTCCAAACATTGCTGTTTAAATATTGATAATTTTATATTTCAAGCAAATCAATATTTCCCGCACGAGCTAATACAAAGCTTCCGAAAAATTCCATTTTAAACACAAAAATTAAACACGAAAATGTGTTGTATGTTAAAAAGGATGCTTTCCTTTCATTTAGCGACACAAGTCGACACAAGTATCGTTCCATCTCTCTTGGCTTTCAATGATTGACAAGGACAAAATAAAGAGTTGCGTCCTTTCAGATGCAAACTTGAAAGTTGAGAGCATATTCTAATAACGCGTAGAGTCGCGCGTCAAGAGGAACATGTAAATACCGTTTTTCTGGCGCGCTAAAGTGCTTGTAATCTTCTCAAGAAGATGCTCACGCAGCATTTTCGTCGTTCTACAATTCTAAGGAGATTCGCCAGTTGGCCGGGTACCAACAATGTCAATGGCATTTCCGAGTCGGGTTAGTGCATTAATGCGGGGCGAGGCCCCGACACGAGGAAGCCCGCAATTAAGGGGCCAGACATCCTGTTTGGAGCGCGACTCTGGCCAACAGGTACCTACAGATGAGTTATCGCCGCGTCGAGAAACGCTCGGGGATATTATTATCGTCCCTCGTCCGCCGTGCCATGCCGCGAATAAATCCGTCCGCGAGTTTTCGCTGCCGCCGCGAAAAACGCATCGCCGCAGTCCCGACAGCGCGTGACTCTCGCAGCTCGCTCCGAATGCGTCCTCGTCGTCAAAATTACACGGATTTTTGAGCAACGATCTCCGACCAGAGTTTATCACGCTCGACTTTGTTCTGCACTTTCTCGAAAAAGAACAGAGATAAAGATAAAAAAAAATTGAGATTTTGGAAAACCTTATAAGTCAAGCATAAAAATACTATAAGCACTCAATGTGTACATGTTATAACATAATTAAGAGAAATTTATTTATTTTTTTAAAAGCGATAAAAAATTTTAAGATTTACTACATAAGATAAGCATAATAAAGTGAATTGCGGACAAATTATTCTATAACGGCAACTGTCAAGTCAAAATTATTCAAAATACTAATCTAATTTTAGAGAAATATCAAATTTATTATTGCAATGATATCCTGTTCTAAATATGTTCTGGATTTCTGTTCTACTAGTTTCAGTAATATTCTATTAAAAGATTAGTCTATTACATTGAAACAATAAGACGTACTTACCTCCAGGTGAGATTCCGATACGGCCATTGTTGCCCGTGGATGGTGAAACGTTTATGCCTCGTCCTGGTGAATCTGGGATCCGGCTGATCCGGCAATCCACATCTCCTGGCTCTCATTAACTTCTTCGTCGCCTCGTCAATCTGCCCAGTCACAGAAATACCACCGAATTTCTGAAAATCATAAATATATACAATTTATTATAATCAGGATTTAGCTTAACTGTATAAAAATGACATTCTAATTTTAAGAAAGAAATATCACAAACTAAAAGTTACATTCACTTTGTGTATTGCATTCATTACTTAAAGTTACATTCACTTTGTGTATTGAGTTCATTACTTAACTTTATAATCATCAAAAAATTAATTCTTTATTACTTACTTACAACAGATACTAAAATATTACAACAGATACTAAAACCATTATATAATTTTATTCACGAATCTATAATTTTAATCGATATCTCGAAAAGTCCGTTTTATCGTATACATAGCTTTCGGAAACATAATCGCTTCCTCCAGTCTGGGAAATCCTCTTTTTTTTTTTACCTTTTTTGAACGGAGCTAAACGCTTTCGAGCATTTCAACCAGAAACGCGTTCGGAATCTGACAAACGCGATTATCGATAAAACCATCGAGAGATGTATTCGACGGACGGAACCCGAGCTTTGGACCCGAGATTAGAATATCCAAAGCATTCCGATGCGTTCCATTTCGCGTTTGAGTTTGATCCCTTCGATCAGCAATCCCTCCCCGGCTTCGCTGCTCTCAAATAATGGTTACGAATGCAGACATTTGCGAGAGAAAAATAGTAAGAACGCAAGCTCGCGCTTGCTCAATGAAGATTTACATAAGAATCGAGAATAAGAGGGATATATGTCGACATTCGACGAAATCCCTTAGGACATTTGCCCCATTTTCCTATTTCTTTCGACGGAATTTCCACCGATTCGCGACAGCTTCTGCAGGCAGAATCGGTCGACTGCGCTTTTAAAATGAATACTCTCGCGAAATAAAGAAATTCACTCCGATGTTCTTATAGTAAAATCTTTTTATCTTTCATTACAGAGTTCTCGAGAGTTATCTCAAACTATTTTCTCATGTAAATTACAAAATGGAAATAATATAATTAATTTAAACTAAATAGTAAGAGGTGGATGCAAAAAAGAATTAAACAAAATGTTGCAATTAAGACTCTAAGACTGTATGCAACATGGAAAGATTTTCTGCAGAAGAATTTGATGTTTAAAACAATAAAACTAAAAATATTAATTTATTACACGGCCCGCATTTATTTTTTGCGGCGTAATAAAATTTTATATCTCTTTATAACATAATTTTGCTTACCTGCAGATTTTTTATAGCGTCCCTGAGTTGATCCTCCGTGCGCAAGTTTCCTGTCTCGAGATCGGTCTGAGGTAAGTAACCGAATCTCATGAGATAATTTTGCTGCAACAGAAAAAACATAATTAGGTACAACAATACAAAATATAAACATAAAATAAAAACATTTATATGATGATAAATATATATTAAAAAATATTTTTCCTTCAAAAAGTCCTTTTCCCAAAATCATCTCGCAATAAAAACATATAGAATTTACGTGTTATCAAAAATGTGTTACTCGATAATAGAAGTCTAATAATAAGATAGTACTTTCATTTGATTAAGAAATCGAAATGTTTTTGAATACTTTTCACTTGATTACTACCAAAATCAATAACGAAATACATACTCTACATCGAGAAGTAAATTTAATCCATGCAGAATCGTGTTCTCTCGCGAATTTACAATCATTTTACATTCTCGCGCGACAAGCTGTTAATTTATGCACATTGCCGTGATTACCTGGCAACCGACTTAATGGGAAATAGTTCAGCAAATACGCATTATCAGATCGCACATGCGGCACCGATTATTACGAGATGATAATATTCCCTCTCTTTCTCTCTCCATCTCTCTTTTTCAATTGATTCGTCGGACGGCATGATGATTTATCGAGTCGCATGTTGATAGAAATCACGGCAAAATTCTTTTCTCTTTTTTTTTCACGCTTCTAACGAGCGCGAAATCGAACTGAAAATTATTTTCCAACACGAGATTGTTACCGTAACGAGGATAAAATGTGCAAGTGTGTAATCCCAAGATACACGCGCGCACATCACGGATGTGTGCGTGCAAATACAAAGTGCTTATCTGCACTTACTCGTATCGATTTATCCGCGCATCACATCGAGATAAAAATTGTGACAGCAATCAGCGACAACCAGCTGGCGTGAAAAAAACATTCGAACACAGGCGAAACTACGGAAGGGAAATGCTTTTCAAACCGTTTTCATAAAACTAGTTTTGTTTTATTAACCTTTTGCCTGTCAGTTTTATTTTATTATTCTTTCTGTCTAATAACTATGATTTTAATCGAAAGAGAGGAAAAAAAAACGTGTTCTTTAAATATATCTATCTTTAGACGTAACTTCTTAACGCATTATTTTATATATATATATATATATAAAACTGACTTATTTACTAATAAAAGTTTGATGGATGCTGGCCTTTTAACCTAAACTTTAAAGCATGACTTCGTCGGATAATCTTACAGGTAGAATAATGCGAAGATTGCGGATAGCTTTGAAAATAGAATGTACGAAGGCTAAGAGAGAGGTGAAAGATCATAAATCCGCAGAAATTCACAAGACATAAACGCTCATTTGCATGCCGAGTCACGGCCAGTTATTCCGCGTTAAATATTCTTTCTAGATCATTATTATGTGCTTGGCCGTAAACGCTAAATTACAGGCCGTGAAATCAAGAAAGACTGTGTAAGGTTTACGGAGTATATATTATGTTGCGCAAAATGTAAGTGTAATGTTGTACATTGCGGCTAAACGCGGTACATATGGAAACTTGTGTGAGAGTGTAGATATTTACGCGGTTGGCCCGAGAAATTAATTAAAGCAAGCCTGCCCTCAGACTATGTTGCCATTGATAAAGCATTTAAAATAATAATAAAACGTTATCTTTCTGTAAAATAAATTTTCCTATAATTATAATTAGATTATAAATCCAGGCAGATATATAAATAATCCAATAAATAAATTCTAAATAATAAAATGATATCAAAACAATATACGACGTATTTTATATGTTGTATGTATCTATACGTGTATATATTATTAATAATTTTAGGGAGATTGTTAATTTGTTTCAATTATAGATACAAAGATATTATTCAATCAAAAACACATAATATATCGAGAATAATAGACTATTTAATTTTATTTAAATAATTATTAAATATATTTTCAACAATCTATTTTTAAGTAATCTATTTTTGGAAAATTTGTTTTGAACAGTTTATTTTTCACATAAATCAATAATTACTCATTCTGCTCTTTAAATATATTTTATTTAACTATGCATCTTTATTTGTATAGTCTCTCCATAAAAATTTTTTATCCTCTTTTTATGCAAAAATTGCTTCTTCAATTTCAGCTTCCTAACTTAATAAGTATTTCTCGCTTAAAGTGAAGTAGAAGAAGCAGCATAGACGTAATTTCGCGGGTTGCGGGTGCACTAAAATCGCCGCAAATTTCGCGGAAAGAGTCCGTTGAGATGACGAAACCGTCGGAAGTCTGTTAGGTCGACACGTGGCGGAGTGTCGCTATCTTTAGTGATTCCTCGGGTATCGCTCCAGACGAAGGAAGCGTCTTGTTCCCGACCGCCATCGTCGCCCGCCACAGGAACGAATTCCGATTCGCGTCAGGAAATAAAAAAGTTTGCGCTCGCATACTGTTCCAACTTTCGGCGATAAGAAAAGGAAGATGAAGAAATAAGAAAAGAAAGATAAAAGAGAGAAAGAGCAAAAAACTGATCTTGGCAAAAAGAACAAAAGAAAGATAAAAGAGGGAAAGGATAAAAAAAACTAATCTTGACAAAAGAATCTTCGATAAGATAAACAAGCGCAATTTAGCTGGCCGAATCATAACAATTATGTTCATTAATTTATAAAATTTAATTGTTTTTTAATAATACGAAAAATAGCGATAGCAGAAACGTTATATTTTTCTTAAGATCCACGACAAAATTCCTTCGATTTTAATAGAATTAAAAATTTTTATCTACGAAAATATATTTCACGGATGAATTTAAGAGGATCTTTGATACGTGAAAAATTGCCAAGTGGAAACGACGCGATATTTTCGCTTGTCTTTGCGCTTGTCTTAAAACCTTTCAAGTACCAATGATAAACGTGACGTTCTTCGATGTCCTCGACAAAAGGGCCTTTGAGATCGCAAGACATCATTAGGACGATTGATATCCGATCCTCCTTTCCCATTCAATCTGCCTCCTTTCAGATATTTCAATTCTATCTGTCTCTTAAATATACATCTATACGTATGAATAACGATATTCACAGTTTAACGGTAAAAAAAATGTATTGAGAAAATATGTTCTGGGAAATCATCTCGTAAAATTTTCTCATATATTCATGAAATATTTCATGAAATATTCATGATACTGAAAATCTATATCTGACAATGTGATAAAAACGACACCTTTTAGAATCAATTGCTCGAACATGAAAAGTTCAGATATAAAAGATATAAAAGTTTATAAATAAAACATAAAATCTGTAAGTGATTGGTGTTTTATGGTATGTTGTTTTAAGCGTATAGATTTTTATTAAAATTAAAAATTAAATAAATTAAATAAAATTTAAATCCAATATTAAGAAATTAATATAAAGAAGATTGTAACGAAACATAATCAAAATTAAAGTTACATTTAAATTTAAATTTAGAATTAATTAATGTTATATTCAATTAATTCTACTTTTTGCTTTGACATTATTGGTTATAAAGACTCTAGTTAGCATCGCTTTGCTCGGCACCTTGTGAAATATATTTCATTTAAAAATATTTCGCAAGAGTTCTTGACTTTACTCATCACGGTCTGTTTTTTTTTTCTTAATCTTCTGAATATTTGTTATAATTTTATCGAAGAAATGATTACGGAAAGTAATTAACAACGGCTCAAAAACTCAAAATTGCTAAAAGAAAATATCGGGAGCGTAGTCACTTATTAAATTAAAACACTGTAAAAGTCTGTAAATATCAAAAAAATATATCTGACATATACATTTACTAAAAAAATGAAACCATTTCTTTGAAAATAACTAAAAATTTTTAAATAAATATTATTAAAAAATAACATAAATATAAAAGATTGAGAATACAACTTATCTTATTCTCAACGTTTCTTTTAAAACTAATAATGGTTTCAAGAAAAGTACTATTTTTAAAAGTTTTAATAAATTTCATATCGTTATTTTTACAATTATATTTCTTTAATTGGCTCAATGACAGCTATTAAAAACGTTTACACATTTAATGAGATACTAAACCAGTGCGCTTCCTGTTGCTCTAGTTACCAGCTAATCTGCAGTGTATCTTTTCGAGCTAAATTGTCCTAACTATCTCGATCGTAAAGTATCTTTTACGGCGTATTACGCGTTCTTTGCCAGCTACGTTTCACCGAGGCCATATATGAGCGGCTTGTAAACGCGCGAACACGCACGTGCGTCGTCCACGAAGGGAGACACGCGAGGAGCTCGCGGAGGGTGCACCATTGGACTTAGGCCGTGTTTGGTCATCGAGCACGCAAGATTTCTCCCGCATTGTTCGCGGATCCCCTTTGCTTTGGAGAACCGGTTGCACCGCGCACACGTCACTCCTTGCTCGCGCCGCCATTTAAGGCGGATAAAATATATCGAGAAATGTCTCGAACAAAGAGATATTTTCGGAGAGACTCCCCCTACTAGCCCCCTTTTCTAGCCCGCTTTAACGTGCCATCATTGCCCTTAAGTGACTCCCGGACATCTCTCATAGATATAATTTTTCACGATCTTCTCGCGCTGATCTTGTTAATTTTTAAGAGAAAAACGATGCGCGAGTAAACACAAAAATAATGAGAAAAGAAAACGTCTATTATCCAATCGCAATTCTTTTTTTTTTTTTAATTGCTCGAGTTGCGATGTCTTGAATTCGGCTCCCATCAATTTTGACGTGAACCAACAGCTGCATACGAGCAAACGGGAAATAGCAATATGACGATTCATCGCCAAATGAGATCATAGC